TTTTTGGCTATTCCAGTGTATTTTTTAAATCATTCAATATTATATACAAAGTAACTGATCAAATAAGTGAACTACTCAAAGGTTCCGCTACTGTAATATCTAGAACTGGTCAGAACCCGCTGAATACAATCTCTGGGCAAGTATTAATGTCTTTGGATTAATATATTGCATACTTCTTTCTTTCCATTGCAGTTGTAAAGTGTGAAGGATTATAGTGCCCTGGTAACTGCGTAGAAATCATTCTAGATATTACAAAGAACAGAATTTAAAAAATTAAACATAGCAGCTTTAATATTGCCTCTTCCCACCCTGCCTCATCATCACCGAACAACATATTTTAACAATTCTTGGAATTGGATAATGTTTTTTATATTATGAAGCAGAGTCTCATTCAGTCTCAGTTTTCTTTTCAAACCAATGATTAGAGATGGTATTTAGAGAAGGTTGCATTTGCAGGTTTATAATTGTGACTCATTTTTGCAAAATGTAACTCTTGTCATTACAAACAATATAATTTTATGTTGAAATCCACGTCAGGAACAAAACGAAGAACCTTAATCACAATAGTTTAAGTTTCCAGGAGCACCTGCTTAATGTTATCAATAAACTGCCGCTCTGAACAGAGCTACCACTTGCTCCATTTGAAATCAGCATACACACAAACACACACACATACACAAAGTGCAAACAATACTGGTCTCATTCCATACAAAAAAATAGGCAGCTAGGCATATTTCTATGGTTTCACTACTGGACAGAACACAATGACAAAGTACTGCACTTTTTGCAATCTTGTTAACTAATAAAACATGTAATACAGCATGAAAAACAGTAATAGTGTGTTATCTATATCTACAATCATATTTACAGCTATATACAGAAATTTAAGGGAGAATTCTACAAGCTAAGGCCAGAAGCAGTATTTGTCACCTAGTGTGTGTGGAGATGATTCTTACGAAACAGAGGATATTGGATTATGTGGGGAACCCATTTGGGTCAGCACCTTATCTAGCCACTGCAAAGGTCCATGAAGATGGATCTCAATCCAACATGGAGTACTTGTAACATCCTGGCGATGGTATTCTGCTCCCCAGCCCTACAAAAGAGACAAATAAATGATCATTAAATAAATTGTTACTTAAACGGATTTTATTCAAACTTTCCTAAAAAAAAAACCTTTTGTGCCTTGGAAGTCATGATAAATAATGCAATTATGGATAGCTAATTACTAAAAAAAACCATGAGTTTTAATTCTATTCACACATGTAAATAAATCAAATCCATATGAGAGAATATCACATATCCTTGGCTATGTGGGAAAATATACATGAATACTTGAGAGGATTGTTATTGCTGTTTTAAAAGCAGATTACTATCTTATTTTATATTGTCTAGATATTATTTATGATGGAATGTTTTAACTTTTTATCTTCTATTTGTAAGTGGGAAAATAAAAGATACATCTAATAAAAATATATGGACTTGAAACAAATCTCAGCATTAGTATTAGTTCAACAATTTATACTGCATCCTTCAGCAAATATCAACAATGGCTCAAACTTTAATATGGAATTACAGCTGTGAAACTATTGGTTCATTAAATGGTTTTCCATCTCCCTCTGGTGGAGGCTTGACAATCATTTTAGGTTGATGTCACAATAGCTCTTTTTCTATACAAACAAAGCCACCTAATTCTGCCATTTATAGCACTTTTTGAAGATGTAATATTATCACTGTAAGTCTATATAATGTAATATATCAAAATGTTTGAAACTTTGATTATGGGTTCAAAGTGAAGCTTAAATCTAAAGAGTGTGAGTGACATTAATGAGAGAGAGACCGATGTAAATTGCCCTTGTGGCATTTTAATTAGATATGCCAACTTCTTCCAGAAATCAAATTCAGTGTAATTCTTCCAGGTTAAAACTGAGGGAACCATGAAAAACCAATATGACTAGTTTGGCTTTTTGTTAATCAAAACTATTATTATGACTAATTAACTGGCATCAAAATCAAATTATTAACTTCATTTGATGCCATTCGATTCCAAACAACTCTGTAATGTAAATCTAATTTAAATTGTTTTATAGCCTTGCTTATTCTGTTCTGATTCTACACACTTTATAGTCTGGCCTATGCATGCTATTCAAAGATTTAATAAAGCCCTTAACTGCTCAAAAATGATACAATTTCTATTCTAACATATCAGCATTAGGAAATCAATAAATAATGAAAAGCCTGATAAACTGCTTATTGTGTGATTCTGACAATGAATAGAACTATAAGGACTCATCCTTTGCTTTATGAAGGAAGGAGTGCATTAATATGTTTATTTAAAAAGGTGTTGAGCAACCATCTAGTTGAGTAGACATGAAAAAAAACAACCCAGGAATAGGAAAGTGGATCCATTTAAAGCATAGGAATAGGTATAAAAATCCATCTTCACTGAAGAGGGTAAGCTTGTGTTTATTGACAAGATAGTAGAATGAAAAAGTCACCCTAAAGCAGAAAAGTCCTGTTTCCAGATACCTGTGTATGTCCAAGTAAGTGCACCGTAGTATCATTAGATTTGGCCTCCAGGGAGTTAGGAAAGCTACAAATCTGATATGAGAGTGTTAATGTATAAATGAGACTATCTTTCTCTTAATAAATCTCTTTAATGCAATTCAAATGTTTACCTTCTAAAAGACGTAAGATAAACCCCCAATTATTCAATATAATCCAGAAGTTTTCCCATTTGTCTTCAGTAATAGCATCACAGGAGAATAATTATAAAAAGCATGTTTTCCCCAAATACGATGCATGTGCCAACTTGAAGTAAAAAGATAGTAGGTATACATTTTTCTGAGTTACAAACATGAGGTTATTTTGTAGAGATTATAGTAACAGCAACTGATATTTCTCTTTGCTGTTATGCTTCAACATGACAATGTAAAAAAAAAAGGGGGGGGCTTCAGAAACATGCAAATGTGAAGGACTGCATCCCTGAAGTGTTCCTACACATGCTTTTGCGTAAAACTAATTGTTTCTGTGGCTTCCCAAAAGTTTTCTACTCCTACAAAAATGATCTGGGAGTTTTAAAAAACCTTATGATTCTTTACAATTTTGGTAACATCTGAGCTTAATTTATTGCTAATGTGAAGAATATGGCTGTTCTACATATACCCAAATGTTCATTACTTTGCACTTTTTCTTACCTAAAATGATTGGGGAGTCTTATTGTGTCTCCCTTTTGGATTTAGATGAAATGTGATATCAGTCGGGGGCATACCTCTGGAGAGAAGATTGCGCTATGAAGCAGAAAGCTTACCCACATCCACTTGCCACCTAATATTAAAAAAATGTGCCAGAATTCGCAAAGCCTACCTATGAATGTTTCAGTCAGTGTTGCTTCTCTTTTAAAGAGCATGTTGAAAGCACTCTTCCCCAGTCCCTCTTCCCATCAAATGGAATGAAAGGGGTAGAGTAAAAAACACAGAAGCAGTCTTTATCAGGACTAGTTAAGAGTTCATTTTGGGTGAGTGGATTAAGCTCAATTTTCTCCTTATAAAATTCTGTACTCAAGAGTTGTAGATCTCTCAGATCAGCAGTATATCAAAATTGTGCTTCATCTGCCACCTTGCTGATTTTGAACCCTGCCTTAGGAACACAACTGTCTCCAGAGGCTGAAATCGTGGATTGTTTTTGCTTTAGTCAAAGGAAAGAATTTTGCATTCACTCTTTCTCTTCCAGTACAGATATAAAGTTAGTTAGAAGAAATATAGAGTTCTTTCTCTATCAGAAAATTATGCTGCTGAAACTAAGAAGGCAAGTGCAAAAAATTAGCATTAACAAACCTATTATATACAAATCCAGCATTCGGAAGACATGTAATCAAAGTTTAATTGCATATATTCTTAGGGAGGCATCTTGCCTTCCCTTTTTGTTTACTAACAAAAACAGCTTCAGGTTACAAAGTATAAAATGTTTTATTCATAAGATGCAAATGTATGGTGTTTCCAGAATTTTCAGAGTTCAGACTAAGTAGGCAGAAATCAATTTGCCTCTGCTAAAGAATATCCTGATTGCATTTTGCAGGCCAATCCTAAAAAAAACCCAAAACAACCACCAATCTTCAGTTACCACAAAAATGTACAACTTTGACTGCGTGATACATATAACATATTTGGTGAGTGCAAAGGTCAGAGCAAATATAACGAAAATGTGAAATAAGTGTGATTAACATTGCCTCCGTTAAAGTACATTTTTGAAAGAATGAAGCACTTCTCTTTTTGAATTAAATACTGAAATTGATTAAATACACCAAAAATACTATCAGCTGAAAAAACATCAAAGGAGGCATTTGCTTTTTATTTATAACAACAATGAAATCATCAGCAGTATTTTAACCTTGATTATTTGGGGGTGGAAATCTGTGTTTAGCAGGCTTCACTCCCAAGAAAGAATGTATAGCAGTCTTTATAAATTATTTTAGCACGCCCCCAGTTCTGATAATCCCATGACCCAAAGATTCTGAGGATCATATACAACAGTATATGGATTTTAGTTTTGGGGCTTTTCTAATTTCCTACACAATCTGGAAGAAATAATGGGTCATTCATGTAAGCCCAAAAGAAAATGGTACTTATTTTTGTACCAAAGGAGTCTAGTTTAGTAAAATACCCAAGAACTTTGCAATATTTCATTGAGTCTGTTAGAAGGCCCTATATACTCAAACCCTTGTTATGTCATCAAAGAAGCATGGTCATAAATAAGGGAGTTAGAAGAAACCTCTTGAAGAAGGTTTGGGAAAGGCAAAATTCAAATTTGTCTGATTCTGAATCAAAGGACCTGGTGATAATTGTTAATGAAACCTGAACACGGGTCAGAACAGTAGACCAATGCAAGTAGATTTCCAATTATCTTTTGTATAAGTAAATTAGTGATCCTTTTTCATTCCCTCTTGTGAGATGAACCCTAATTGATAAATCTTTTTATCTTGTGATGAAATAGTGTCACAAATTACAAATAGTTCTGATAATTTTTCACTTCTTATGTATGATGAAGTATCATGAAAATATGAAATTTAGCATTTCCCATCCATTAATTCATTCCAGGCTTTGTGACTTTTAAAATGTCCTTGCAACAAAGAGGCGTATTAAACCTTTTTAATTTCATAATCAAAACCAAAAAAAGTTCTTACTTTAACAAAGCTCATCCGGATGGTGCACATCTTGGTTAGCTCATACACCACCTCGAAGCCATGGTTAACTGACTGGGCAAGCAACTGAGCGAAGAGTTGGTTATTGAAAATCTTCAAGCTGCATCCACTGGGGATTTTGCAGACAGTGGCTGGGTGGAAACCATGCTGATAGTTACAGTTGCGGCTCTGTACAAAAATGCTGCTGTCGCTCACACACTCTGCATATACCTCTCCTCCAACATAATACAGATGAACACCTTTAAGAGAAAAGAGGTAGCAAAATCTAATCTAATCTTCAACATGGATTAGAGCCAGACTTGTAACTCTCTTTTAAAATTCATGTGTTATTTTTTTTATGATATGCTAAACAGTATGGTATTGTTATGTGATGATAGAACATATATACATAAACTGGCAGGATGAGCAATCTTAAAATTGAATCCTAAAAAATGTGTTTTAGCTGTGTGATAGCCTTTTTAGGAATTTCTTCTATGGATGGCAAAGCACTCCTACTTGCCATATTTTTTACATGGAACCCATTTCTATCTATGAAACCCTATACAAAAATTAGGCTTAGTAAAAATTCTGGTTAGTTAAAACTCTTTCTCACTCTCTGTCTCCTTCCCCGAGTGTGACTATAATATTTTTTTTTCCTGCTCACATACCTCATCCTCTCTTCCATGTAAATCTGTTCTTACTTTGCTAGCATTGTGATGTCCTAGGTAAAACCACAAAAGGTCAGGAAACATTTCACTGATATTTTTTTTTGCACTACAAAAAAAGCCTCTTATCAAGTTGTTAGCCATTCAGAGTGACCTTCCTAAAGAGCTAAATTTTTGTTTGTAGTGGAGTCCAAACTTACGCATTAATTGGGTGATATGTTAGATGCTATGCTACAAAGTAGGCAATGCAGAAAAGAGAGATATCAGGAAGAGTAACTAATTAAATTGAATTAAATTATATTAATTGTTAATTATAGCTAATGTGATAATTGTATATCTATATCAGTGGTGGGTNCAACAGTTTTCAGGAGCACCAATGTAACAGCAACAGTTTCATAGCAGAAGTAAACACTATTACAATGGGGTCTACTGAATTTCTGTAACTGTTGTAGTTGGCTTCATTTCTGTACTGCCCTTTTGCTTTTTTCTTTGGTTTTATTTGAAATTGACGTTTTAAATTATTTTTATGAGCTTTGTGCAGCTTCTCCTTTCAATTACAAACTTCCATTGATTCATTTTGGAAGTTACACTGATGATTTTGGGAAAGGTGAACTGATAAACAATAAGCTGCTTTTTATTTTATGCAAACTAACCTTGCATAAAGTTATTATTTTATGACATTCATTGAAGAAAACAATAGTTACTTTCTATGGAAGTTTTAAACAATGAACTTTGAGCCACTCCAGTAACTTCTTGTTCAGGAAGCCACATCTGAGTTTATTTTACTAACTGGGGGACTGTAGCAAGATTTGGTTCACAGTCCCATTACTGTTGTTAGATTTGTCTACCAGGCAATCTAATTGATAATTTTATATTACATTATAAATAATGTGTTCCAGGTTTGTATTAATGTTATGTACATTTTGTACACATGGTTGACTATTTAGTGTATTTCAGTATATTACTGCCAGGATTCATTAAGAGGCATTTATTTAAATTTATTTATATTATTGTTGCATTTTAATGACTTATTTGTACTAAGGAACACCCATAGTTTATATAAGACTATTTTAAAGCATCATTTTGTATATTTGTAATTTTTGAACTCTTTCTGAACATGCAGTTTTTTTAAAAAAGACTTTTTGTAAAATGTCATTTAAGTTAATTTTTTACATCAGACTTTTTAAGGATTTTGTAATTGTACAAATTAGGTTGACTCCAGTGTTAAGATCAATAAAATGAATCAATCCAAGGGCTCAGTCATTACATGGTTCTGTTGTAACTATATGTCTGAATCCAAGCCATTGTGTATAATTGATATTGTCGTCTACGTTATCATATCCTCATTACTTAGTATTTCTCAGCAAAGACCTTAGTGGGTGACTTTGGGCCAGTCACTCTCTCTTCTCAGCCCAATTCACCTCAGTGTTGCTGTTTTGGGGGAAATAGGAAATGAGTATTGGATACATTCTCTGCCTTATATAAATAATAAATGCAGGATTAAAAAAATAAACTGTCAAGAAACACAGATTTAAAGTGTGGATTTTTTATTTCCCTGTTATATTAAATGTTTTAACAAACTATTGGTTAATTTTTTTCAATACTGTTTGAAGTTTATATTCAACATTCTGTTTCATTGTTCATTCCTGTAAATATGACCCATAATGGAGTATATTTTGGTGTAGCAAAGCCTAGAGTGAGAATAGCTTCTGTTACACTACTAGCTTACCACCTTTATTAAGTGAAAACACCGTCACAATCATTTGAAATTACTTAAGAAACAAGACCAAGCCATTAGAGGTTGACGTATGATCATAATGGAGTCTGCCCATCACTGCCATTATAAGGTGTCATAAAATAGGTCAATCTACTTGGTCAACATGATTTTACCATTTTCCAGCGAATGCCATGATTGTAAAGTGACCATTGCAGTTAACGAGCAAACCAATGGTTCTCTGAGTCAGTTTTGCTGAAAACTAGGAGTAAATGCTGGTTTTCAGCAAAACCATTGTAAGAGTTGGTTATGTGACCATGGGATGCTGTAAATGGGCTAGTTGCCAAGTGCCTGACATGAGTCATATGACTATGGGAGTCAGGCAGCTATTGGAACTTTGGAATCTAGTAAGAAGCACTCGGAGATCTGTTGTATCTTTGAAAAGTGACCAGTTGTAAGTCGAGGGCTACCTGTAAGCCACAAAAAAAGAACTTCCAGGAAGCCAATAAATAGGAAATTAAAGAGCTAGTTGGCCTTAGATTTTCATGAAATACTCCCATTAACTCAAAAACTGTACTTGAGATAGATACAAAAAGGGATCAGGTCACACCCTAAAGAGAGCTGCTGACAACTGTCAGCAGATGCAATAAGGATAGAGGAATATTGATATTTTATTGTCCTTATCTTCATTAGAGCATCCCAAATATTTACTCCATGTTCTTACCCCATTGGGGAGAGATGGTTCCTCAGATATCCTGGATCCATGTGATGTAGTGTTTTAAAGGTAACAGACAACACCTTGAATTGGACCCAGAAGCAGACTGGTAACCAATGCAGCCCTAAAGGTATTCACCAGTTGCAGCTTTCAAATACTCTCCAAGGGTAGCTCCATGTACAGCATGTTGCAGTAATCCAACCCAAAGTGACCATGTGCATGGCCTCAGGATCCAGGTAAGGGCATAACTTATCTTGTGCTTCATCCGTTTGCTCTTAGCAATCCACAGCACATCCTAGGATTGCTGCACTAGAAGAAGTCACATATTGGCAATATAATCCAAGTCCGCCCTTTCTAATGCCTGACCTATCCATCTAGTCCCCATTGAAAATGCCAAGCTCCTTGTTGATTTCTATTAGACCCATCAGTTGCTGCAGACATATCAATCGAATAGACTCCATCTTCCCACAAAGGAGCAGATGATGCCATCGGATTGGAAACAATCACAGTGCTCTGTGCTTTCAAAGCAATAGGCTGATATTAATTTCCTCTACAAGACCATGTTACAACAACCTCAAGGCAAAAACGTATCTAGATGTTGAAAGTCCTTGATGTGGTTTTGCATGACATGGATCCTTGAATATATGTGGGAAAAACCACCTATTATTCAGATCATTGATTGCTATAATCAGATGCTTGGATGTTTACATATGCTGGTACTTAGAAATTTTGTGGGGAAAGTATGACATATAATATTCAATCCACTCAAATAAGTCACTATTAATTTCCCATATTCTACTTTTCAAATTTCAATTTATGAATCTAGGTTGAAATCTTTGTTTATAAATTTTAATGTGTTTTAAGGGAGTCTCTGGTCTTCCCAACTTTTACACACACATTTTATTTGGACATACCAATACAGTCCTAACTATTCTTTCAACAGGTCAACCTACTGATAGAGATAGCTGTTATGTATAGTTCTGTAGATAGTTATCAAGTATCCAGACTTAAATAAATCAGAGAAGTGTAATGTTAACCAGATTTTTTTAGGCTGCAATATAGTGTTGCAGTGATCATTCAGTGCTCTGAAGCACACTTTCAAAAAAATCCAAGTAGAATTACAATGGTAACTTGCTTATAGCTGCAGCAGAAACTATGTGGATTATTTAATGCTACAATTCTAATGTTATTGGGTTATGGTTTAGATCTGTAGGATCCATGTGCTTTTTAATGTTCCTGATCAATTGTTCCCTGGGCAGGGGAGAATTTATGCAGCTCTACTGCAACCAATCAGAAAGAAATCACACCAATAAATAAGACAAGTGGGAGAAAATATCTTTCTTTTCATCTGGTTTTAAATAAAACTATTCCAATCTCAATCTTGTACTATATTGGAGCATCAACTACCTTATTTATAACTGCCTTTTTATAAGTTTCGATTTCTTTTAACTGTAGTATTGGATTGTTTCCCCATACACAATGTACCAAATTGCTCCTTCATGTTGAGAGCTGCTTTGGTATCACCATCTGGATCATTCATGAATAATAGGTTTACTTCCTCCATCAGCAGGTAATGGAAATAATCCTGAGAATAAACAGTTTATAAAAAAGCCTCAGAATCATTAATAAGTTTCAATTTTTAAGCAATAAAACTGATCCCAATTTTTTCCCTATACATTTATTAATAAGGAAATAGTTGGCCTGCATACAATAAATAACAAACCATTTGGTGTTCTATGAAGCAGTCTTGAATATCATACAGCTTCTCAACTGCTTTCAGATTGTCCTCCAGAAGGTTGTGAATGCGTTTTGAATTCTCAACACATATAGCAGTTTTAAGAAATGTTTCCCCCCTAAACTTAGTTGGTGATAAATGGTTTTTCTACCAAATAACTTAAATTTTCCTGTAGACTATTTCAAAGCATAGCATATTTATGAACACATTTAATAGCTTTAAATTTACAAATTTTAATAGTTGTACAAAAACGATTGCACACAGAAAAATCTATCTAAAGGAATCGTTTTTATGCAGGCGGTCTTAGCTGAATTCTGAAAGAAGTAATCATGATTATTTTTCCAAATACAATTTAGCTGTCAATATTTTTCTGTACAGTATGTGTTGTATTTACCCATGTTTCAGGGCTGAGAGCTCTAGATTTACAAATTCCTAGGACAGTTCTTTTACATAGGCTGTATTCTGATATTTTAGCGATTGTCCCCCCCCCCCTTTTTATTAGTTCATATTCTACCACTCCAGGCTTATAGGCATAATAATCATACATTAATAAGAATTTAAACCACATTGGTTGAAAATATCACACTGCAGTAGATGTCACTGAGATTTTTATTTGAAACACCACTGTTTGATATGTTTATAAATGTATTGTTCACAAATGAATAAAGGAACTACTATGAATGCATATCCCAACATATATTATTCACTGATTACTTTATGACTGTGTTCCCACATAACACTGAGGTAAAGTTACCCATAGTTTACTCAACCAAATTTCTTGTATTTACATAATTCATTAACTAAATTGGACAGGTGGGCTAGGTTTGCATTATTCACTAGGCTAAATATTACTGGCTAGTTTGTGGTTCAGTATGTGATGCAAAGGCAGCTTATGACAAATATATTTCCCCCGTTTTTCTAAATCAGTTTTATCCCTTCCATACAAAAAAGGCAGCAATTGATCCATTAAGATGATCAAAAAAATTGCTTCTACCATCATTTGGCCCGTACACATCCACCACTATTGTTTTAATTCCATTAATTTCTATTTTCACTGCTATAAATCTACCACGATCATCTGCTATAAGTAGTTTAGGTTTGAATTGGGGTTTTATATATAAAACAACTCCATTAATCTTTTTTACATCAGCTGATATAAATTCTTCTCCTAATTGTTTATTTATAAATATTTCTTGTCTTGTTTCTTAATATGTGTTTCTTGAATACAGACTATGTCCGATTAAGTTTCCTNGGAAAGAATGAAACTATTGTGGCCTTGCAAGTTTATTCTTCAAGGAAAGATGGTAAGTTCAAAAACTCAAGTTTTAAGTTCAAAAACAAGGCAAGCAAGGGAAAAATATTATTAAGTTACACATGATAGATGGTGTGCAAAATGTGGATAGCTTTTTGTCCATTCACAACCTTAGAAACTCTGGGTCATATCTTGAAATAAAATGTTGTGATATTCAGGAATGAATGGCAGATTTTTTTTTTTGTACAAGGCATAATTAAACTATGGAATGTGTTGTTATCAAATGAAACAGCACTCTAGCACACAGAAATCTGGGTAACATTCAAGGGCAGAAGTTTGAAAAGTGACTAAACAAATTCATGAAGAACAAGCTGCATACTGGCTGCAGAACCAGTGATGATGATTCTTGACTTGATTCAACAGAGTTCTTTATACCTTTTTCAGGAGACCTTTAACACTGTCCTTTTCAACTTTGGCAAACTGAGGATGGGTAGACTTCAACTCCCAGAATTCTCCAGCAAGCCATCCATGCAGGTGGAGAAACACTGCTCTAGCAACTTATTTTCTCTGTTTTCATTTTAAGTATGTATCTTAATTACTGTGCAAAACATGGAAACTGCTTAAAAATGTTACCTTATAATGTCTAGTAGGGTACACCAGACAAAAGTAATAAAATTTAAATTTTAATATAGACTTTTCACATTTGTATTTTCCAAATCTATACACAAGCCAAAACATAATTATACTACAAAATACGTGCAGCTTTGTGAATTGTGATATAGTTCAATTAACATGTGTAAAAGAAAAATAGATGGGGGAAATATTTGTGAAAGGTTTTATTGTTAGGAAAAATACATATATAATTTGTGTATTAGGAGAATGCAAGTGGATAAAAAAATGCAAAAATATGGCAGAACAATTGTAAGTTGTTCTGAAAAACTATATAAATCAAATTATTTCCTATCTTTAGTGTATTTAACTATGTAAGAAACTAAAGAGTAAACCTGTTCCAAGTTCTTAAGAGTAAAATAGATTGAAGGAGGAATAAAAGTTGCATAAATAAACTAAAATAAACTCATGCATCACTAGTCTTGACTTTCTTAAATTGCTCTTTGCCATCACAACTGCTCCCCCTCCCCGCCAACTCAAGAGAAAAATCATTCAAATCTTCAACAAGGCCACCAATATTCAAATCAAATCAATAGAAGACTATTCTGGATTGAGTCTGCCAAGAGGAAGGATTTAGTTAAGGATCCCTTTGGATGAAGACTGAATAGTTCCTGGGCTCCCAATCAGATCTGGGCCACGTCCTTCCCGCTATGGAGAAAAATATAGGTCTTTACATACTTTCAGGCTCTCCATTAGTAGATTTACCTCCATTGGGCAGTGACAGCACTAATGGACTCTCTATAACTGCATGTACAGGACATCCATTGTGGCTTTGTGATGTTTCTCTGGCATTATAAGGTGGAGGAGGTGTATCAGCTAGGAAAAAGAAAACAATGCTGCGCTTAGTATTTCATGACCTGCCTATATAAATACAAAGAAAAGGCTTCAGAGACTGAAGCATAAACACTTATTTCACACATTATATTGGATTAAATCAGATGCTTACTAATGATTTCATTTTATGCACACATAAACCACAAAGAGTCCAGATTCTCTGTTACAACTTCCAATAACACTTGGAACTCCATATTAGTGTTTCTGTTGACTATCTGAACAAATGTATTCAATTTATTACCTTTTGAAAGAGGCGCTCAGGATTGCATAAGTACTATTTTTTCCTAACACACACACACACAACCTTGTAAAATAAATTGGGCTGACTAAGAGGCTCAAAGTCAATCAGGGAGTTTCTGTGGCTAAAATAACTATATTTCCTTGCTCCTAGTTTAAGACCTTGATTACTACCCTATGTTGGGTCTCTTTAGTAATTTTTACTAGAATTATTTCTTATTACTGCCTGTTTTCATATCTTTTTTCTATTGTTGCTTTTATAATGTTAATGTGTTGCAACCTCTACACAGTCTTTAGAGCTGGTTGAATTATAAAAACTGTAAAACAAACAAATAAATAAATCAATAACTAAGCCACTCTTCAACTCAAAATGTCAGAGTAATACAGCTATTATTACCAAAATTGTTTGATCTTGTAAAAGCGAGATACAATTGAAAGCTGATTTTTTTTTTGCAAAACTCTAGAGTGATATGGTGTGCTTGCAGAAGGCATTTGCCTAGAGCTCAATCCTAGATAGTGGCAAATATTTTGCTTCTCTCTCAGGGTTCAAAGAGAAAATTGCCAACTCTATATAGGCATCAGGAAGGGCGTCCAACCAGTAAACACTCAGCTCCATTTAGTCAGCTTAACTCTACCCTGAATTAAGGGATAACAGGGTCATAAAAAATTGAAAAAATGATTCAAAACTCTGGTTCCTAAAAAAAAGTTACTGTAGATTCAGCATTTATCAACTACAGTTCAAAAACAATATTTTGCATACCTGTGAGCTCATAAGGACTTCCCGGTGCAGAAGAATTTCCTGGGGAGTCTGGGTAGCTCATAGTGCTTGGTGACTGAGAGTACATATTGGGGGATGCTGGGAAAGGGGTGCAGGGAGGCTGC